TATTTTGGTGCTGCCCCCTTTGCGCTGCCAATGTCAATTTTGGGCCTGTCACCAAAGGCCCTGCTGCTTTGGAGATGGGCTGCAGCCATCATGGATGGTAAACGCCCTCCCCTCGGGCGTGGCCCATGTGGGTGAGTGCCGAGACTTTATGAGCTGGTGAAGAATTGACGCGTTGCGCCTTCGTCGACTGGCCGAGAGCTCTGTGGGGGAGACATTGGCAGGGCAGGGGTGGGCAGGGGATTGGACATTGCACCCACCCCTTGCCTTGCGCATGGGCCCCTATCGGGGCCAATGTGGTCCATGCCGATTTTAAACTTCTCGATGGCCCCCTCAGCGATTTTCCAGCTCTCTGGCAGGCGTACCGCCACACAGCCGAAGTCTTCCCACATGCGCTGCAGGTTATGCGCGTCGAGCGTCTTGTCGCCACTGGGGATGACGATGGGGGGCGGGGTGTCCGTCTCACTGCACTCATTGTTCCCGCGTGGGAGGTTTTGGGGCCATATGGCCCCGACAAGACCGGGGCAGGAGGTCACGTCCAGCACGCGCTGCCCAACCTGGTGGGGGGGAGGAGGGGGAAGAGATGATGGTGCAGGTGGAGGTTGCAGCCGCCTCGTCCTCCTCCTCTTCCGCCGCCGCCCTCACCATCATCATCATCAATCATCATCATCATCATCATCATCATCATCATCATCATCATCATCATCATCATCAGCATCAGCATCAGCATCAGCATCAGCATCATCATCAGCAGCATCATCATCATCATCATCATCATCATCATCATCATCATCATCATCATCATCATCATCATCATCATCATCATCATCATCATCATCATCATCATCATCATCATCATCATCATCATCATCATCATCATCATCATCATCATCTTCATATCATCCCTTCTCCCTCCCTCCTTCCACCAACCCTCCCTTCTCGGTCCTCCTCCCTGATGGTGTCGGCCTATATTGTTTGATGCCCCCTCCCTGCCTTCGCCCTAAAGAAGGGCACTGCCTGCCCTGCTGCTGCGCGCCCCGACATCTGCGCTAGGAGCGGAGGACAGGGGACAGGACGTGTGAGAGGTTGTCTCGCGAGCTCAGGACAGGGGGCAGGATGTGTTTGGGCCAGAACTGCTGCGGGACAGGAGGTAGGTGCTGTTCTGGCTGAGGGGTTGGCCAGCTGACATTCTCCAAAATTTGGCCTTTCTTTCGAGCTGATACTCCATTGCAATGGCTGCAGAGAAGCAAGGGAAACATCAGTGCCCTGTGGGAAAGTGGAACACGAGCACGACAACCGCCCCCGTCAGAAAGTGGCCATCTACACTGGTTCAGCACCCTCCTCCTCCTCCTCCTCCTTCCTCCTCCGACTCCTCCTCCTCCGACGACGACGAAGGCGACGACGACGACGACGACGTCGACGACGCTGTTCCAGACACCCCAAGACACCATAGATCTCCAAGACACCCTACGACACCCTCGGTACATCAGACACCCTCGTGCTACGCGGAGCGTAGACTTAACTGTCGCCCCTCGTCCTGGGCCCTGGGATGATAGACTCAGGGGCAGGGGGGTGGGGTCCTGGGCCCTGGGCCCCGGCAACCCCTTCCCAAGCCTGACCGGGGACCCTGAGCCCTAGACGCCCCAGACACCCCCAATGCCCCAGACGCCCTATGGCCTACAGCCCATGCCCCAAACACCCTAAACTTAAGGAACATGTGTCAAGGGCTTCTCAGGTCTCAAGTCTTGGAAGCTCGCCAGGCACTGAGGCCCCCGCGCCACCATGGGCATCATCACCTTCACCACCGCAGCTTTACTCCAGAACCCTCCTTCAGATGCAGATGTAGTACTGGGTGGACGCCGAGCGCATGTGCTCCACCCGCCTGGGGCAACGGAGCAATGTCCGAATGCCCCCGCCCCCCCGCCCCCCGCCGCCAACGGCGCCCCCTCCCGTCGACGGACGGCCCCTCGCCCCCTCAGGCCACCCGGGCGTGTTTCTGCGTGGCCCATGGCCACCCGGGCACTCGGCCGCCCCAGCTCATGGCGAGGCGCAAGATATGGGAGAGAGGCCGGGCGGCCCCTCGCGATGCGCCTCCAGCCGCCCCTCGGGCAGCGCCCGCGCGATGAGCGCCCCCGAGAGCACTGTGTCCAAGGAAGGCACTGTGCTTGAGGCGCCCGCGAGCATGAACCAACCCCGCGGCGCCCATGAGGGCAGCGGCCGCCCCTGCACGCGCGGGAAGTGCTCGGGCCGGGGCCAATCGCGACCTCCCAAGGGGGCGACCTCCCCATGAGGCCACGGAAAGTCCAGAGGCGCTCGAGCCATCGCGCTGCGACCACCATCGCGATCATCATCATCATCATCATCATCATCATCATCATCATCATCATCATCATCATCATCATCATCATCATCATCATCATCATCATCATCAGCATCGTCATCATCATCATCATCATCATCATCATCATCATCATCATCACCATCATCATCATCATCATCATCATCATCCCGTGCCGTTGCTTGTCGCCAGGAGTTTGGTTCATCGGGAGCTCTATCCGTGGAGGAG